GAGATTCACTCATTAGGTGCTTGTGTTTTTTCCCGTGTGTGTGTGTGTGTGTGTGTGTGTGTGTGTGTGTGTGTGTGTGTGTGTGTTTGCCGACAGAGCTTTCAATTACTGGAAGAAGTTATCTATAACTAATTACAGTGTGTGGTATGTGTGTGTGTGTGTTCTCCAGCTGGGTAGTAGATATGCAGCAGAGCTTTTTTTTTTAAAACCTCATATCACAAAAGACACAACTGCCCACTCACCCATTTACCTTTCAGAAACACACGTTACATACCCGAGATGGCCACTTTTCCTTTGCACGGGAGTCGCTCTTCCATCGGCCCCGCGTCCGACGACCTGCGCGGGACGCTCTGCATCACCTGCGCCTCCTTCATCCTCTGCAGCTCTGACATGTAGGCCATGATGCGAGTGCTGCACGTCTGCAGGCTCTTCGCCGCCTCCAGAGCCTGCTCTCGCTGCGAGCAGGCAGCCAGCAGCTTGCAGGCGCCGTCTCGCATCCGGATCTCGTGGTCTATCTTCTTCTGAATGTCACTGTCCTGCGAGGACAAGAACATGTTTCAGAATACTGTTTTGGGGAAACGAACTGAAGGAATTTATTAGTCGTTTAGATACTGATTTGGAAGCACCAAAGCATTTTCTTAGTTTTCCTTTTTAAGGCTTGATTTTTATAATCTATTATGTCTTGATTAAAATAGGTTTAGATACATGCCTGAAACATGACAACACATAATAAAATCCGTTTATAAAAACATCAGGGAAGCATTGCTGTTCAGACTGTCTGCGATTCAACTGTACGCCTGTAGTGGGTGTACCGGCACTGAAGATCCCTTTATATATAGACCGGAACTTCCGGTTTTCGGACAGCACTGATCTGCTTGCTTCAGCCAAAAGCAATAAAGCTTCGCTCAGAATCAGATCTGGGGTTGTATGGTCCATTCTCTTCACAATTTTAATCAGATTCAACATTTATGTGATCTTGTCACAATTTCAGTTAACGAACACTAAATTTTCTTACAGAACAATACAAGAAATGAGGAGTTCATTAGTTTAACAGTGGTTTAAAAGGATGGTAAAGACCCATGAGGAGCGAATAACTAGGGTTAATTGAATGGAAGATTTCCAGTGACGCAAAGTTGAGGTGTTAGGCTCGGGTACTGCTGTTTGGAGTTTAAACACATCTGCAAGCTTCACTCTGTCAGCAGTGCAAACAATGTATCCAAGAGTTTGAACTGCAGACAGAATAAATCAAATCATTCAGGGCTGGAGGAAATCGAGGGGGATCAAACAAAGAGCAGGCAAAGGTAAAGCTCGTGTGACGGTAATCGTTTGGCAAACACTCTCCGACAGACAGAAAATCATACATTTGCTTTAGTTTAGGAGCTAAAGTCTCACACTGATGGAGTCCGAGTTGGTCTGTTTGTCCTCTCTCCAATGATAAATTAACCCCAGAACACTCCTCACATAAATAATCTACTGTTTGTCCTTTTTATGCCTGGGTAAAAGTGAAGCCAATTTTCTCCTCCACTCCAATATCTCTCGTACATCATCCCTCTTCCCATCTCTCTCTCTCTCTCTCTTTGAATAACTTGTATGAATTTTTTATTCTTTTCCCTTAAAACTTTAAACATTCATTTCTCATTTCCTGCGGCCTTCGTTCACATTCGTTCTGCTTCACCGTCTCTTTTCCCATTTCAGCCCGTGTTGCTCTGAACAGAAACTTAACAGACAATGAATTGAAA